TGCTGACTCAGGTAGCGCAGTGAGGACCTGTGCGTTGCTCCTCGTTATCACTGTTTTCTCCTGTCCTCCCTCCGGTGTGTGCTGGAGCTTTGTGCCCAGTGGCCGTGGAGTTTGGACTGGGTGCTGGCGGGTTGCAGGGTCAGTGGGTGCTCAGCCAAGGTGCACGTGGCCGGCTGTGTGCTGGGAAAGGGTGAGCGTTTGCCCTGACCCAGGTAAAGCCATGCAGAACCTCAAGGAGCGCTCGGTCAACCGGAATGGGTTGTTCCCAAATGGGGAGTGTTGAGTTGATTCCCCTTCTTCAACTGCCCTGGGCATCTGCGTGGCAATTCCTGGTGCTGTTGTGCAAGGCGTGTTGGCACTGAAACGTACCATGTGCATGGGTGTGTGCTGCAGCACTCTGCTTTGTGGATGGGGTCCCTGGCGCTGTCGCTGTGCCCCCCGCCCCGCTCAGCAGCCTGGGTGAATGCAGCTCCTATTGCAGTGGGCAGCACTGGATGACACTCTTCCCCTTCCTCTTTTTCCCTTCAGGCACAAATTGCTTTCCTTTCGTCGTCTGTGAGCAGCTGCTTCCCATGCAAAGAGTGTGTGGAGCAGGCGCGTAGCCCCAGTGCTGGGTGCAGGGTGTGAGACCCCCGTGGTGGGAGGGGGCTTTGTCGCAGTCTGTGCACTGCACAGCACCCACTGCTGCCCTGGGGGTTCCTCAGCCCTGCAACGCTGCAGTTATGTGAGTTCCAAACAAGTTTGGGAAACGAAGCCTCAGTGCTGGGATGGAATGAGAGCGCCCAGTGCTCTGCTTTGCACCCAGTGCCGCGGTGCAGAGCTGCTGCTTTAAGGAGCGGGGTTCTGAGATGGGTGCCAGCAGGTGGCAATGTGACCAGAGGCATCGCAGGGCAAGGGTGAACCACCCAGCTGGGTGCTGCGGGCATCCCTGCCTCAGCACACGGGCAAGAACCCATCTGGCTTCCCCACCAAAGGGGTTTGGGGGGTCGTTGCAGGCTGGCTGAGCAACGTGGGGCTGTGCTGAGCTGTGCCTATGGCTGTGCTGAACACTGTGCACACAGAGGCTGCGCCCAGGGACAGAAGTGCTGTGACCCACTGGAGCCTCTGTGCCCATCCCTTGTCCCACGTTTGCCCCACGCCCCTCGATCCCGTTGGGACGCGGTGCTCTGGTGCCGGCCCGGTGCCCTCTGCCCACCCCCACGTCCACCCAGCTGCAAGTTTCGCTTCTGCATCTCCAGCACTGAAGGGGGAACTTGGCCAGCGAGAGCGAAACTCAGCGGCTGCAACGGTTGCACCCGCACGCAGCCCCCGCCAGCCCTCCGTGTGCCCCAGGGCCTCAGGGGACCTGCAGCTCCTACGGCCCCCCGTGCCCTCCTGGCTTTTCCCTTCCCATTTTTGGGATGAAAAGCCCGAGTGATAACAAGCTCGTTGAGCGTAATGGAGTTTCCAGCGGTGGCTCGAGCAGGGACGGCGCCTGAGGAGACCTCTGTGTTTTGTGGGTGGATGGTCTGGGGTTGGCTGTGTCAGCCCTGGAGAGGGATGGTGAGCGGATCAGCCCAGGGGGAAGTTTGGGTTTGGAACCCAAATGTTTTGTGGCCCCAGACCCGTTGCTAGAGGAAACGTGAAAAGGGGAAGGAGGGATTGTGGTTGGGCAGCTCTTCCCCTCTGCAATCTGAGCCTCCGTCTTGGCCCCTCCACCTCCCCTTGGCGTGGACTGTGCCCCCCAAGTGCTCTGTGTCCCCACGTTGGCGTGGGCTGGTGGTGACCCTGCGGATCATGGTGGCCCTGGGGACACAGTGGCACGCACAGAGCTCCCTGCAGCCGGGTTTTCCCATTTTGGTGCTAGGAAAGTGGGCGCATCTCTGCCACTAATTGGCTCCTGATTGATCTAATGAAGTGGCCGAGCATCTCGCAGCCTGCGCTGCTGCAGTGAAGCTGTCCCAGCCACCCAGCTCTGGGGGTTTGAAGAGGGGACACAAACTTTGTGCCGTGGGGCTGTGCTGCCCACATGGAGCGAAACCGCAGCTCCGGCTTCCGAACAGGAACAGATTTTTCTTGTCTGCTCAGCGTTTCTGGGTGAGCACCGGACAAAAAGATTGCTTTCTCTCTCTCCCCCTTTTCCTTCCCCTTGTTGTTTTGGTGTGTTCTTTTTTTTCACTTTGATTTGCTCCACAAGGAGGTGATGTCAGCTGCTTTAAATAAACAGCACTGGTGTTATCTCTGCCTATGGCACGCTCTGTGTGCACGGTGGCTTTTTTGCACCGGTCCGGGCTTAGCTGGGCAGTGCATGGCTGAATGCTTGGCTGCTGCTGCTGCACGCTTAGGGTGAGAGCCCTGCCCATGCATTCACACATCCTCCACCCTGCTCCCATGTGAGCGGTGACACAGCTTGGCGATGCCCTGCAAGCAGGGGGAGGCTCTGCACAGGCACGGGTGAGCCGTGCGGCCGGTGGGGTTTGGTGCAGCCATGGGTGCTGTGGTCCCGTTGATGCTCGTCGCCCGCCACTCTCCTCTGCTGTGGGTGATGCTGGGGTTTGCAGCACTTGCACCCCGACAGTTTGCAGCAGTTATGTTCTGACAGTGCAGCTTGCAAGCCTTGGGTTGGCAGCTGAAAGCAGAAGCACGGGTCGCACTGCTGCGTGCCCTGGATGCGCAAGGTGCAAGGTGTCCTGTGGTTTTTCTGCCTGCTCCCTTGCTTTGCAGGGCACGGCTCCTTTTGTGCGTGAGGAAGTCGAGGGCTGTCCCTTATGGGCCTTCTGTTTGACCAGCAGGTTGCTCTGGCCATTACAACAGGTGCAAGAGGGAGAGAAAAGCTGAAGCTCCCCATCTTCGATGCTCTCCGGTCACAGAGCTGGGATGTGCCTGAGGCTGACAGAAGGTGTGGGATAAATGCACGCAGCTGCTGGAAGGCACCATTACTGTGGGGCCACAACGG